GAACAACTTTAGCTTAATGAAGCAGTTTTGGTGTATAGAACATGCCCCTGCAGCCTCACTGCTCAATCCTCTGCCATTTAGGAGTTAAATCCCTTTGTTTATGAACCCTATGTTTATGAACCAGTATGTTTTCCTGGCACTATAGTGGTCCTTTAAAGTTCAATTTAGAGATTGAGATACAATTATTTAAGGTAAATTACATCTGTTTGAAAGTGAAACCAGTTTTTTTTTCATGCAGGCTCTGCAGGGCCGGACTGGCCCACCGGGATACCGGGAAATTTCCCGGTGGGCCGTCGGCACCTGGGGCCGGGCAGCCAGCTGGCTCACCTGCGGCCGCAGAGGGAGCTCCTTTGGCGGCCGCAGGGGGAGCTGGCTGTTGTGTCTCTGCTCCCCGTCCCCTGTGCGCCACTTAATGAGAGAGAGAGAGTATGACGTCATATTCCGGCCCCGGTCTCATTAAGCGGCGCGCAGGGGAGGGGGAGCAGAGACACAACAGCCAGCTCCCCCTGCAGCCGCAAGAACAGCCAGCAAACCCTGCTGCCGCCAAAGGAGCTCCCTCTGCGGCCGCCAGAAGAGCTCCACACAGGTAGAAATTGTGTATGTGTGTGTGTCTGTCTGTCATGGTGTGTGTGTGTGTCTGTCTGTGTCATGGTGTGTGAGTATCTCTGTGTCAGCAATGTGTGTCTGTGTCATTGTTTGTGTCTCTGTGTCATGGTGTGTGTGTCACTGTCTGTCATGGTGTGTGTGTCTGTGTCTGTGTCATTGTGTGTGTGTCACTGTCATGGTGTGTCTGTCTGTGTCATGCAATGTGTGTCTATGTCATGGTGTGTGTGTCTGTCATGTAATGTGTGTCTGTCTGTGTCACGGTCTGTGTGTGTCATGGTGTGTGTTTGTCTGTGTCATGTAATGTGTGTCTGTCTGTCACGGTGTGTGTGTCTGTGTCACGGTCTCTCTGTGTCGTGGTGTATGTGTCTGTGTGTCACTGTCTGTCTGTGTCATGGTGTGTGTGTCTGTGTGTCACGGTCTGTCTGTGTCATGGTGTGTGTGTCTGTGTCACCGTCTCTCTGTGTCGTGGTGTATGTGTCTGTGTGTCACGGTCTGTCTGTGTCATGGTGTGTGTGTGTGTGTGTCTGTCTGTGTCACGGTCTGTGTGTGTCATGGTGTGTGTGTGTGTGTTTGTCTGTGTCATGTAATGTGTGTCTGTGTCACGGTCTGTGTGTCTGTGTCACAGTCTCTCTGTGTCGTGGTGTTTGTGTCTGTGTGTCACGGTCTGTCTTTGTTATGGTGTGTGTGTGTGTGTCTTTTTTAAGGTGTGTGTCTGTCTGTGTCATGGTGTGTCTGTCTGTCATGGTGTGTGTGTGTTTCTGTCTGTGTCATGGTGTGTGTCTGTCATGGTATGTATGTGTGTTTTTACTCACTTTTTTTTTCTTTTTTTAACGTTATGCTGGTCTCCCCTCGCCTGACCCTGCCTCTACGGCTGAGATCATCAAGCTTGATGATCTCAGCCAATCCGCACTGACACAGGAAGCACCTCTAGTGACCGTCTGAGTGTCTGTCACTAGGAAGCAATGTAAACACTGCCTTTTCTCTTAAAAGTCAGTGTTTACATTGAAAAGCCTGCAGGGACAGGCTATAGACACCAGTACCACTACATTAAGCTGTGTGTGTGTGCGCTTGCTTGCTTGTGTGTGTGTGTGTGTGTGTGCCTGCTACTGAGTGAGCTTGTGTTTTTATGTCAATAACCTTATGTATGAGGCTGTGTATCAATCAGCTTGTGTCAGTGAGATTGTCTGTGTATGCATGTGAGTATGCTTACTGTATAATTAAACATTTTACTCTGAAAGGACCAATATTTTATATTGGAAAAAGAGATTATATATATTATAATAATATAAAATATTGCCAGAGATAGCACTCCAAGGACTAATATAAAATATAACTTTTATTACCTTCACTAAAACAACACAAGGTCAATGTTTCAGCTTGATCCCCTCAAGCTTTCGTCAGGAGATGTCCTGACGAAAGCTTGAGGGGATCAAGCTGAAACGTTGACCTTGTGTTGTTTTAGTGGAGGTAATAAAAAGTTATATTTTATATTAGTCCTTGGAGTGCTATCTCTGGCAATATTTTTTGCATTTTTGGCTGACAAGTACCGGGCATTGAATATTGAATTGGTGGAGTGCAAGATCCGTTTGGTTTATATATATATATATATATATATATATATATATATATATCAATCATCTAGGGTTGCAAGACATAGCCTTACATATTACATGCGACAATATATGGCGCAGTGACTTATGGGGTTGGCATAGATTTTTTTCCAGGGCTGTTTTGGAATCCCCAGTCCGGCCCTGAGGCTCTGTCAATCATAGCCAGGGGAGGTGTGGCTAGGGCTGCATAAACAGAAACAAAGTGATTTAACTCCTAAATGACAGTGAATTGAGCAGTGAAATTGCAGGGGAATGATGTATACACTAAAACTGCTTTATTTAGCTAAAGTAATTTAGGTGACTATAGTGTTCCTTTAAGTGCTGTGCACCTGATGAGCTCATCCTTACAGTCAATGCTTTTCTACATCGCATCTTTTAATGTAGCCTTTCTTATTTATTTATCTTTTGAAAGGATATATTTATAGGACCAGAAGTGCATACATCCATTCCTCATCGCTGACTAGCAACAAAATGAAAATCTGTTAACATTTACAGAAACAGAGCTATGTCTGTCCATTTCGTGTTACTGACCAATAATATAAATAATTTCAATAACCAGACAAATGTGCTCGTTGGGCATCATTTTCCTTAATGAGACGTACAAGTATTCTCGTTCACACATCAGTCAATATACTAACGGCTAACATTTTTAGCTGGGTGTTGGATTATTAACAGATTCTAACACTCTAAAAGGTCAGATCCTTAAAAAGAAAATGGAAATGTTAAATTTAGTTTGATTCCTTTTTTTTTTTGGTCCATTTTTTAATTTACTTTTTATTTATTTTTGCAGTGCAGAGTAAAACAAGGACATATAGGCTTAAAATGTCAAGGCATATATAGGCAACACGGCTAAATACCCAACAGAATTATTACATGACATTTTGAAGAACGGCACAATTTTAGAATGTAGTCAAATGAGTGTGAGTCAGGCTAAAATCAGGGAAATATATTTGTAAATTGATAAGCTGACTCCACCTAGAGTAACACATGATGGTAAGACCACTGGATACTTTAATGACTGGACCCAAGATGCATGTTATATTAGATATAATAACAACATGAAGGAGCACAGAGAAATTTTAAGTAAAATAGCAATTTGCAACTAGAGTGAAATGGTGGATTTTGCAAGACATTATATACTGTAGCCTAAATAGACTGTTGTGTCCTGTGAATGCAGGCCCCTCGACCTATGGCCATTACGGTTAGGCAGATGTACAGGTGGGCTTGAGTCTCCTCGTATGCTGTCGTTCAACTTTTCTCCAGCTCCAGGCTCTATAAGGAACCAGCAGCCATTGATTGCGGGCCTCTTTCCCCACCATCAGGGAGAAACCTTGAGAACCTGCAAATTGTTTCACCCAGGGGCGCACACTGGGCTCGGTTACACGAGCCATCAGGGTTCCCCGCCCAGGAGGGAGTCTCCATACTGAAGCTCTGGCTTTAAACTGAATCTCAGGACTATGTGGTGTTGTAGGCAGTGTAGCTGGTCTCCTCTGCTTCTGCAAGTACCTCTAGGACTGCTGACAAATGGAATCACATTCCTTCTGGACAGCAGGGAAGGTGGGAGTGCAGGGTCAGCAAATGATTCTGTGCCAAATGCATGGCAGATCTCATCAAATTTTTTGTGGGAGATGTTTCTCCACGTCTGGTCTTTCAGGCCTGCCTGACTTTGCCGAAGCTGTGGTGGCCATGTTAGGCGCACCACACCGTTTCTAAATCTGCAGGATCCAACTACAAAACTGCGTAGATCCTTCGGGGACTTGGGTATCCCCCACTGGTTCAAAGGGGGGGTATGGGGGAATGGGCTACAATTAATAGTCCACCTCTCCCAGCCCCCGGATCACCAGTCCCTTCAGGCCTCCGCGTCGGGCGATTTAAGTACAGAGCTTCACAATCCAAGCTTGTTGAGTTGCAGCTTGCCAGCTTATAGCTCAATATTCAGCAGAGTACCGCACGATTTTATGTAGATTTCACTTAGCTAGGACTAGCAGGAGCTACTAAAAAAACAGTCAGTCTGTCTTGGGTGTCAGGCACGCCCTTATTCTTTATTGACAAGTTTGTGTCTTTAAGGTTTTATGGTAAGACCGTAAGAGTACATAGGGGAATGAATAAATAATTTAACAAAGAATCA